TCGCTGTCTTGCCTGCCTGGCATTGCTTCCTCCTCATTTTAGTGACAATGCCCTGATTTCTCCTGCGGAATCACCTCTCCCTGATGCTTGGGTCAAGGTCCCTTAAGTGGGGAGGTTCGCCTAACACCTTTGATTGGTGACTTGGTCAGGTAGGCAGGGGGCCGACGCTGTGCTATGAGCGCTGGCCGGGGATATTTGCGAGGACCATGGAGAAACAATATGTTCTTTTGCCGGTGCTGCTAAAGTGGTAGCACAGCAGCTAGCTGAAGACCTCTGTAGTCACCTGAGGCATGTCTGTAGGACTCAGCTCTCCGAGAGATAACCAACAGTGAGAGACACAGAAGACAGAGCTCTGGCAGCAGGTTTGATCACCTGGCTCCTCTGCACCTGAAGACAATGAACCCTTTCCCGTGCTGTGGGCCAACAGACGTTCCTTCTCAGTTCAGTCAGGCTGTGTCGGGACTCTGTTGCTTTAGCACAGGCTGGCTCCACAGCCACTCTTTTATATGAACAGGGAGGTCTACGGGGGAACGTGCTGGCTCCCTTGGATGAGTCACCTAGGGTCCTCGGCACCCCTACAATTTGGAAGTTCAATCACCTCAAGGCATTGCGAACGGAGAGATTTTCCAGGCTGACATTCAGAGTTACTCCTCTGGAAATGGCAGATTCCTTTTGCCCACCTGCCGAAGTTATGTCTTTGAATGGAGTGGCGTTCTTCTCCCTGTGAGCCTTCCACTCATCCAGTTCAACTCAACTCACCTGCAAGCCCATTGCCATTTTGAATTTGGGGGGAGAGGTGCACTTTCTACACTGCCCTTCAGCTTCCAGGCCATTGGGGTAGCCCATAGGAACAGGGCTCAGCAGGGCCTTGGGCTCACGGCTGTGTGCTATGCAATTTGGTACTATTCCATTTTTGCTTCAGTTCTTGGTTCCTCTCCTCTAACCCCCCATGACTTCTCGGACTGGTGAACTAAATCTTATACTGGGGCTGTGGACAAGAGAAGAGAGTCAACATCTCATTAGAGCTTTGAGGTCCTCAGGGATTTTCTGGGCTGAGATTCAGAGAATGAGAGTCTGACAAGCGAGGAACTTTGCAAGGTCACACATTGAAAACCAGAACACAGGGCACCCAGCTCCCTTACCAGAAGCCACTCTGCTCTGCCTCACTGATGCTGGGTGAGCCCTACACAATCTCTCCCAACATCGGTGCATCCTAGATTGTATTCGCAGGCACATCAGATAACACATTAGTGTAGTCCGCACCACTCCATGATGCTTCGAAGGAGATTCGTTATGGTCGCTTTTCAATTCTGAGCTCAAGTGTAGAAAGCTTCAGGATCCTTTGGTCAGTAGTGGACTTTCTCATCATTGCTCAGACTAATACAGACACACACACACACACACACACACACACAAACTCAACGGCATTCAAGTGTCAGTAATTCCCAGTATCCACTGTCATCTTTACCAACACATCAACACACACACACACACACATTCAGATGAACACATCCATATCCATCAAACCCACTGTTTTAAATGATTTTACCTCACTGCTTCCCAGAATGGTAAAGCTCTTGCATCACGTATACTAGGGGGTCTTTTGTTTCCCAAACCATTTTATGAGAAGCTCATCCCGACGTCCCACCACTCCCCAGTTCAGCCACGTGGAGCAGTGTTGTCCAGTTGCTGCCACGGTCAGTTTCAGAACAGTCTCCTCCTTCTTGAGCGACGGGAAGCCTCCTGAAGCTCACCTGGGACTATGCTCCTGGTGAACTGACTTAGGTAAGATTAGATCTCAACTGCATCGGAGGAGGTTTTATATGCTTTCTGGTCCACCCTTTGTCACCTCCTCTCCACTTAAGAGAAACCTTGACTTCTGTGGGGAACAGAAGGATTTCTCTTAAGCTGTCTCCCCAATAATATGTAGCAGACTTAGCTGCTTGAGTATGACTGTACACTAGGCAGTCAGAGAAAGTAGGTCAGAGGTTATTCTTCTCAACATCAGCCATCTAGAGCTACCAGACTGTATAGTCTGACTCACCCTAAGTAGGGCCCATTCCCTTCTGCTATAGTTCCCTTGAAGCAGTGCCCAAAGGCAAGCCCGGGACCACTCTAAGATGACTAGGTCATCCCCCTCCTATTGCTTGTATTGCCTATGTTACAACCCCTCTCTATGACGTAGGTTGTTATCTGCTATCAGGGGGCTTGCATGCCTCCCAGGATAGCAATTGTCTGTTTTATTGTATGAGACACCAGAATGATCAAACCTGTTCAAGGATGACTTGTACTGCCCCTCTCTGTGACGCATGATGCTGTGATGTATCCCCCTAAAGTAATATGATGCATGGTTAGCAATAAATAAGGAGGCTCCCTGGTTCTGAGGGGGCTTGCTCCCATGAGGGCGGTGGATGAGAGGGCTGCTCCCGCGAAGGAGGCGGCTCCTGCTCTGGCAGCCGGGTTCCCCCCACGAGGACCACCAAGCGGGGCGGAGGTAAGCGATGCTACCATGTCATATGTCTGACTGTGTTATTGTATTATCTCTCATGCTCTCGATGACTTTACTATAATGCTTATCTATCTCAACCGTACAATTGTGCTTACTGAACCCGTGGGTAGTATTAGTAGCAGCGGTGGGGGCTGGCCCCTCACTCCCCTCTTAATTTAATTTAATACTACAGACTTCCACAAAGAACTCCATCAACACGTGACATTATCATAGCGACTGCAACTCTGTGTAGGCATCACTGTCCTTGGACACCCCAAGCCAGCCTCAGAGTCTACAGGCTCCACTGTGGTTAGGCTTCGTGCCCCTCCTGTAACATCATCCACACAAGCCCTACTACCACCCTCTGCCCATTCAGTAGAGTTGACTCCTCCAATTTCATGATCGAAGCATTGGCTCACTACTGATCAGGGCTCAAAAAATCCAAACTCACTGTCATCGAGTCAATGCCGAGTCATTGACTCCCTGTGGGTTTCTGAGACGGTAATACTGGCGGGAGTAGAAAGCCCAGTCTTTCTCCCACAGAGCTGCGGTGGTTTCAAACTGCCGACCATTCGGATCACAACCCAACGCTTAACCACTACACCGCCAGGGCTCTGATCAGGGCTCACAAAAGGAAATCCCTCTGGGGCCCATTTCTAGTCTGTCAGGCCTTGCCTGGCTCTCCCCCTACCTGCCATCAACCGGATCACCACTATCTTTATGGGCCTGAAACCAAACAAGCCCAGAAACAGAGAGGGGCTTAAGACACTCGTCCAAAAATCAGAAGGTGACAAGTCATCCCTGAGACTAGCACATGCTGAGTCACCATTACACCCACCCTCCAGCAGTTCTGAAATCCATCTCTCTCTCACACTGCCCTTTAAATGGGCAGAAAAGTCCACCCAACTCTGGTGAGGCCATCAGTTAAGCCTTCGGCCTTAGCCTGGCCTGCCGGCCCTTGACCATCATTCCCGCTGCCATCTGCCCCAGCGGTGTCTTTTGACCGTGTTTCAAAAATCCACATCCCGTGGTTAAATGTGTACCAAAGTCTGGGGAAACACTGCTTTCCAAAGAAGGTCATTTCAGCTGTCAAACCAACACTTCCTGGACTGGTTTCTCATGCGCTCCTTCTATGTATTCATTGTTCATCTATATAAAAAGCTGTGTCCTTTGGGGGTTTTGGTGTAATGTTCTCTATAGTCCACACAGGAAAGGGGTACAAAGCACGTGGTTCTCTGCTTCTCTTTCACTACTGGTGCTTTGCAGGCACTTAGACCTCGCTGCCAGGTCACGTGCCACACATTAGCTGACACACAGCGATGATTGCCACAAACCCTGTGCCCCCACCCGTCCTTATCCCCTCTCTCCTATCGTAAACCACCGATCACCGGCAGCGAGCAAAGTTAGCCTTTTGACACACTGGTAAAGTTTGGGCCCCAGCCGAGTCAGTCTTAGGATGCTCAGAGCAACGCGCCGATGTAGTTATTCATCAGGCTTCTGCTGGACACACATGACGAGGGAAGCACCGAGGACACCCCAGAAGCCGGCGGGAACACAGCACCTCTTCCTGTCAGGCAGCACGGTCAACACAGACACACACAACACTCATGGGACCGCCACCTGGGCTAGCATGCTTCTTTGGAAAATGTGACCGTTAGGGCACCCTGAGCCTGGATTGCCTTAGCCATGATTTCATTGGCCAGAAGTCCTAGCGTAAACCCACAAAGTTACAGGCGGCTCAACCAAGCCACAGGTGAACGCACAACTCGCAAACACCTCAAACATCCACAAGCAACTTTCGTCCACTTTGTGCTCGGAGCTGCACCCCTTCATCTGGCATTACAACGTTCCTTCTGACGTCCGTGCGGGCTCCTCTCACAGTAAGGTCCACGGGCAACCCTCGTAAGACCCACTTCCACTGCAAACCCGTGTGCGTTTCCCCGAGGAAATCCTATGCGTGTGGCAGCATGCGTGTAGTCCTTAACCATCTGCCATGTGTACAGCTACACTGACATTTTCAGACAGCTACGAGTTTTGTTTCCTCTTGTCTGTGTCACTCATAGGCATGTGAGTGTTGTGTTCCCAACATCCGTCATTCCCATAAGCCCTGAGGTTTCTATTTCGTAATTTTGTATAGGAAGGTATGTGTTGGGTTATTCCACTTTTTTGAAATGTTTCAATAAAGAGATTGTTCTCTTACTGAAACTGACTGAGGTCTAGGAGTAAATGTCTATGATCAGGATGCTGTGCTAACTTCATTACAGAGCATGTAGATGTGGTGAAATATCAATACTGACTCCTAGGGACAAAGCACCCAAATTGCAAGCTAAATACAGTGGGGTGGGGGAGTGGATCACGCATGTTACAGAGTGAAGGAAGCCTTTGCAAAAGCCAAGGAAATAGACAGCCTTTCTTCCACCCGCCTTTCTTTACCTGCAGCTCACAGGCCTTTTTACTGCAAGAAGTTTTGGTTTCTGTTGTCAAACAGCCTCTGAGAAGGCGTTACACTGACCTGTCATCGAGTTCTCAGATGTGCAGAGCTGCTCCCTCAGCTTCTCCACATCGTCGGGGTGCACGTGATCATAGAGGGTGCTTCCAAACCACTCCGACTGGGGCTGGTTCAGCACGGGCGTGACGGAGTCAGACACGTAAATCACCCGCCCTGTCTCCGCTGCCACCACAAACAGAAATCCATCAGCCGCCTCGAGGATGAGATGCTTCAGCTCCTGGGAAGGAAAGATGGCGGGAAGGCCACGCACTGATGCACGAAGGCCAGATCTGCTTTCTAAACCGCAACACACCAAGCTTGCAGCACCCCTGCGTGACGGCTAGGCTGTTGTGGTGGTTAGCCCTGCCCTAACTGGCCCTCGCAGGAAGAGAGGGGATTTCCTGCACCGGGTAAGCAGAACACACGGTGGTTCCCAGAAGGCTCGGGGCTGCCACGAAGTGAAGACAGCCTTGTTCACGTACTCAAACCACAGTCCTGTCCCTGGAGGACAAGCCCCCGGCACACAGTGGGTAAGCATTGTCTTGTTGTGCATACTCTGTTCAAAGGCTAATTTATGCAGAAGCACTCCCCACCCCTGGAAAACAGATTAACGTGCAGCTGAGTGAAGGCAAAATCTGGGGTGTCTGGATCCCCCAGTCCCGATGGGGGCCCAAGGATCCGTGGTTGAGAAACGTTCATCTGCTGGTGGGCAGAACATGGCCAGTAGGAATCCGCAAGCCCTCTGGCTGGGGAACTCATTTACAAGGGGATCGCACAAGCTTTTCTAAGGCACCGTGTCTTTTACTCATTCCCTTACATTGCCTTCCGCTGGTCCAGGTCCCCTAGACTTGATCTGCTTCAGAGGGTTGGATCAGCATCTTTATTTTCAGTACTATGAGGAGCTCCCCATAGTAGAAGCTGTAAAATAAGACCCCGGGATTCCTGGGAAGGCAGCGAATCTCTGACATGGAGGAAAGTAAGTGGGGGCTGCATGGTTCCCCTTCAGCACCCTAAACTCACGGCCCTCCACTTGATTCCGACTCTGAGCGACCTCATGGTTTCGGTGAATTCCGTTTTCATATGGTCTTCCGGACAAATCTCTATTCTTGGAAGGTCATTTGGGACAGAGATCCACTCTCATCACGGGCCCCTCATTCCATGAGCTTCCTCCTCAGTTTTCATCTCCTGGGAGCGGATCCCGCCTGAGCCAGGCTGGGACCCAGAGCCCACAGCCACCCTTGGCTCCCCTCTCCAGAGAAACCAACAAGAAGGGCGCCCGAGTCAAAGAGCCTCGTGTGTGGTGCTTCCCTTGAGCTGTGAAGCCTGGGGCAAGGTACTCAGCATCCCCGCTTTTGTTTCCTTTAATGAGTGGGGGGAGGTTAAGCAAGACCCTTCCTGGAAGGGTCAGACCCTCAGTAGGGGCTCACTATATGTAATCTCTCTTGTCCTTATCCAGTCACTGAGGGAAGTATGTGCAGGAGCCTTATGATTTGGGCAACTTTCTTCTCTTCCCATCCCACTCTCACTCTTTACTTACTTAAAGGTAAAGGGATCCACTGCAAATATTGGCTTGCAAGTGGTTTTGTGAAGTTCCGAAAAGACCGGTGTGCCAGTTAAATAATCTCCTGTCAACTTGAGCTAAGGGGTGAAATCTAGCATGTCAATCATGCTCTGGGTGGGCATGGCCTTCTCCTGAGGATGCTGGGAATTCCTGTCTTCCTCCCTTGAGGCAGGACACACACTCTCTGCTTGACAGATGGAGCTATGCGGATGGCAGCAAGAGCCCTGGAGTGGGAGGGGCCACGTGGAGGCCACGCCCCAGCCTGAGATGCTTCCACCACCACTGGATCCACAAGACTTTCCACCCACTGGCCTGTGATCTTCCTGCGTTTGGTGTCATTGCATGTGCTGGGTGCGTCTGAAGAGGAATTTCTAGACTGGTATTGGACATATGGGCTCATATCAGACTTATGGACTTGATCTGGACTGGGCTGGAATGTTTTCCTAATATACAATTACTCTTTGATAAAAAAAAACTCTTTCTTACACACATATGAATGTCCCTGGATTTGTTTCTCTAGCCAACCCAGACGAACACAATAGGACAAAAACCCTTTACTAACCTTGGCAGGTTATAGGTACTTAATAAATTTCTATCTGGTCAACCCCAAACCAAAACCTGTGACCATTGAGTCATTTCTAATTCAGAATGAACCTACAGCACTGAATAGGGTCCCATGGCTGTTAATCTCTATGGAAGCAGACTGCCAGGTGTTTCTGCCACGGAGCAGCTGGTGGATTCAAACCACTGACCTTTCCACTTAACCACTGCACCACCAAAACTTACCTTCCCCCCTGGTTATCTAGTAGCTCTCCGGTTGGTTCAAAGACTTCCAGCCTCCTGGTAAGCATCCTGCACTCACTGCTTTTCTGATTCTTCCCTGGCAGCACACCAGGTGGGGCTGCCCCTGCACTCCTGTGCACCGAGGGGAAGCGAAGCCTGAAGCCCGGGCTCTGTTACCACCGAGCTCCAGGTCCGCCGGGCAGACGTGACTATGTGTGCTATTGTTACTAGGTCTGCCGCCATTCCTTTCACCATGTTAATACTCGGCAGGCTCGAGTGCGTAAGAACTGTATTTTGTACTGATTTCTTATTGTGCTTCTTGGCACTATACTAAGTATATTGTTCATATCTATATAATATTTGTAGTATAATACATATAGAAAAAATATGGAGGCCTGAATATGCTCACCTCGTCAAGGGAGGAGAAGTTACCTCTGGGGCTGGCTACAGAGGATCCCTATCATGAAATCGGCTCGCCCTGTCTGCAAAAATACTCTGGCTATGGCCAGAGGCAAGATGCCCTCCTTTTCTGACGTCTTGGGTTTGCTCCAATGAATTATGCTGCCATTGGGGCAGAATGCATGATGCTTTCAAATTCCTAATCTCTCTCTCTCTCACGTTCTCTCTCGTTTACCGTAAATACAAGTTCTGGTGTTTAAAACGAAGGCAGTAGAGGAAAAGCAAAATCAGGTGACACGAAGATCTGAGACACGCTTTCTTGAAGAGTCCGTCCCAACGGACACTAGTATCTAGCCCCATTTCCCCGGGCACTTGATTTCACCTGGGGGCCCATGCCATCCTCCCCCCATCTGACTGGACAGTGTCAGGGGAGACAGGCAGAGTGAGGAATGGGGTACCTGCTCAGTCAGGAACGAAGGCTTGTATGCACCATCCGTAGACTTGTTCCCTGTGCCCCGCATGGACTTCATGTGCGAGACGGCCATGCGGAGGATGGTGAGCTTGTCCGGCTTCCGGGCCAGCGCGCTGCACGTGGGGACCATGTCCGAGAGCTCGGTGATGTACTGGGTCATCTTGTTCCGCCTGCGCCTTTCGATCTCACTGTGATTCTCTCTTCCCAGAAAGCACAGGATTGGGGGTGGGAGGGAAGAGAGAAGTATCAGACTGGGGCCTATGGTCCAGTGCCAACCCCAAGACACAGGGGCCCACTTGGAACAGCAGGGTGCTTGAAGGGCTAGGAGGCAGAGCTGGCCTTCAGATTCCTGTGTGGTGGCACACCAAACGCACTGCCATGCACCCATTGACTCCCAGCGACCCTGTGGGGCAGGGCAGAGCTGCCCCTGTGAGTGCTCGAGGCTGTAAATCTCGTTGATGGAAGCATACAACTTCATCTCTCCCCTTGGTGGGTTCCAGAGGCTGATGTGGCAGGCAGTAGCCCAATGTGCAACCCGCTCTGCCCCCGGCTCCTTGTGTGGCCAGCAAGGCATCTATAATGCCTCTGGCTCCAGCTCTGAAGATTTGCTGCAATCTCCCTGCGGCCCCATCCGTGTACCTATGCACTGTTGAAGGATCATCAAGAATCGAAGCATGACACTTGAGTAGCTGACGTTAACCCAGCCTGCTTCCAGATGAATCCTTCCATGGGTATGCCAACATCCACCTACGCCCACACGGGCATGCATACCAACATCGCTCCTGTCTGCCTTCAGACAGGGAAGCCTCGGAAAACCTTGTGCTCTGGCACCAGGAAGCAGGCTGAAGTGCCACAGATTCAGGTCGCACACAGTTGCGAACCTGCCTCTGTTCTAAGCCCAGCATGCTTTCCTCAGCGGAGTGCGCCCCTGGCTTATTAAACCGCCGAGAGCCAACTCTGAGGGGAGGGAGTGGAAATGACCGTGAGGAATCACTGAGCTAGATCCCTACCATGTGCTGTGATGAAAAACTAGCAGAGGCAAGGGTAGGATAGTTCCAACTCTGGTTGTCACCTTCGGGCTTGAACGGAGAGCAACGGAGGAGGCACCCCATTCGGCAGCACTAGGGCAAAGCCGTGGCTTGGGGCAGAGAGTGAGAGAAGGACAGTCCAGGTGTGTTGCAGGCTTTAAGGTGTCAGCCATGCTCAAGTAACGAGAGCCATGCTGCTGGCAAGAAAGCACCGACCTGGGCTGCACTGCCTCCGAACACCATCCGCATCAATCGGGCTTAACGTCTCCCGCTCCGTCGGTGGAGCAGATGTGTCTGTCATGCCTGAGTACATGCCAGGCACATATGCAAAGGCCCCCTGTGAACACTCAAACCTCGGGGAAGTGAGACGGGGGTTGTGGTCACCAAAGGAGCTGACCCACCCTGTAGAGGGAGCATCTTCTAGATGAGAGCACTGAGCCAGGCACCCCAAGGAGCAGAGTAACCCTGATTCCTGTGCATGCGCAGCAGCAGGGCTGGGTTGGAAGTAGTTTGGAGGCTGGGCCCTGGAGGCTGAGCTAGCAAGGTGCGAGATGACAACCCTCAGAGCTGGCTCACTGACATGTGGACACACAGCCAAGCGGCAGAGCAGCCACTGCTCACGGAGCAGTCACCACGGGGCGGGGACAGGTCCCCATTCCCCTCCAGGAGAGTCGACTTTCAGGAACTGGACAGAGCTGCCTGCTAGTGGGGAGGGGTGGGGGAGGTGAGGTGAGGACAGAGGCAACCCAGGGAAGGGAGAGGGTAGTTATGAGAGGGAGGGGCAGTGGTGACAAAAGGAGGGACGTGGCTTGGGATTCCTGGATTCTACGGTGGACGCAGGGATCCTTTCCTCATCAGGAAAGCGTAGGACCCAGTGCGTCCTCTCCACCCGACAGACGCCACATGACAGGCTTCCACCTCGCCGCCTGGTCAAAACAACTCCCGCTAGGCTGGCTGGCTCCCAATACCCAGAGTCCGAATTCCTCAGCCTGACTTTGGGGACCATCCTCATCAGGCGTGCCCCCCTACTTCATCCCACTTGATCCAAATGGATAGTGGACCACGGTCACTTGCCTTCACCTGCAACCCAGTGCGGTGGAGTCGATGCTGACTCACCGCGCCCCTCTGGAGGGTTTCCAAAACCATAAATCAAACCAAACCAGACTCGCGGCCTTCGAGTTGATGAAGGTCCTCAGCAACCCTACAGGAGATGGCAGAACTTGGTCCTGTGGGTTTCTGAGATTGTAACTCTCTTTACAGGAGTGGAAAGCCTCATCTATCTCCCCCGGAACGGCTGGTGCTTTAGAACTGCCGACCTTGCGGTTAGCAGCCCTACGAGTGAGCACTAGACCACCAGAGCGCCTTATGGGAACAGCCTCCTCTTTCTCCTATGGAGCACCTGCTGGGTTGGAGCCCAAACCCTTGTGGTTAGCAGCCTTATGCCTAATCATTCACTTCCAAACCCAAGCACACAAACTCACCACTCCAGACTCACAGCGACTCGGCAGGACAGGGGACGACTGCCCGAGAGATTCCGAGACTGCAACTGTTTACGGGAGTAGAAAGGCCCATCTTTCTTCCCACAGGGCGGCTGGTGGTTTCAAGCTTCAGACCTTGAGATCACAGCCTGGTGTCTGTCTGGTGGCGCAGGGAATAGGAGTTGGGCTTCTGACCACAAGGTCGACAGTTCAAAACTAGCAGCCACTCCTCGGGAGAAAGACGGAGCTTTTTTACACCTAGAAGCGGTGAAGTCTTGAAAAGTCACAGTGGCCGTTCTATCCTGTCCCGTGGGGTTGCTCTAACTCAGCATCCACTCGATGGCAGTGAGCACCATTCACTCGAGCACTCCAACGTTCCTTCCTGTCCTCAGATGTGGCTTTGTGTCAAACCTCCTGGAAGGGCCTCTGGATTCTCTTCCACCTTCCCTGCGCCCACAGCTCAGGGTAGCTTGTCACCAGTTTGCGGCTCAGGCGCATGCCTTGAGGCGCCTCCCTTCCTCTGGCCCATCCTCCCCAGCCTGTCTTCACGTAGTAGCCACACTGACTCTTCGAAAAACGTAAATGCCAGCCTTCACCGAGTGCAGGGTGCCCCAGATCCTGCCATGAGGGTCACACGACCCCCTCAGCTCCTTCCCAGGCGCCTGTTCTAGTGCACGCCCAGCGTCTGAGTCGACTTTCTAGAAGTTTCTATCATATTGCCACAGGCCTTCTTGCTTGTACCATTCCATGGGGGAGGAAGTGGGGCTGCTTGATGGGGTTCTCAACCAGAAGTCTAAAGCAATTTCGTCAATGAACCCAGCTCCTGGGCTAAGGTACATGAAGATGCTAACACCAGGGCAGCTGTTTACAAACCACTGCCTTCACTAACAAGCCCAGAGAACCGATCCAGTCGGTTCATGATTCAGGCCTGCGAGGGTTAACAGCGAAAAATCAAAATGACAGAGAGTTGTCAGCGGCCTAGCAACAAGCTTTGATAAATGGGCAGGGCAGCTGTTGGGCTCACAGAGGCACAGGGGAGCCTGCGTGTTTGTCTGGAGGGAAGGGAGAGATGGGTGGATTCATTTGGAAGGCTTCCGAGGGGTCCTGATGAGGGGAGAAGAGGAGTGGAGAAAGTCCTGTAAGACATCGTGCGTGGTCAAGCAGAGGGTCAGTCAAAAAGAGGCCCAGTGGCTGCCACACTGGACTCGCACGTAAGAACCACTGGGCGGACGGATGCTGCCGGACCAGGGGTGTTTCCTTCTGTGGCAGGTGGGGTCGCTAGGAATCAGAACTGACGCCGTGGAACCTCCCAACACAACCATGGGGGTTTCGGGAAAGACTCCAGAGGAGGCAGTAGTGCGGTTCTCTTCCACAGCGCCTCTGCGGGGCCAGGAGGACCCAGAGCCGGGCCTCGGGATGTGCCCACGGGAAGGAAAGTTCAGGAGCATGGAGGTGCCACCGCACACCCACACCGACTTAGGGTTCTTTTCTTCTTACCACAAGGACCTCGCTGTTGAATCCGCCCATCTTGATGAAGAAGGGGGAAAGGAGTTCAACAAAATCACACTCAAGACCGTCCTTCACTTTTTGGAGGGCCGTCAATTCCCATCTCCTACAGGAGGAGGAACCAGAGCCCCAGTCCAAGCAAGCGAACGAGCGAGCAGGCGCCCTGGGCGGGCAGACCCGAGACTCCGGGCACCATGCCAGGGCTGGGAGGCCTTGTGCTGGCGCCGGCACTGGGGTGGGCTGTGGCCCAAGAGGCAGCTCACAGACAAGCAGGGGCACCGAGGGTGCTTTGATGGCCTCTTCGTCCCGCTGTGCTAAGTGACCCAGAGGACAGTGGTGTGATGGGGACACAGGAGACCAGGGATGCATCCCAAGGCAGGAGAAGGACATTTTAGCTTAGACCTGAGCAAAAGTCTCAGGGACATGACTAGGAAGACCAGGGACCCACGCCACTGAATGGCCCTGACTCAGGCCAGAGGCAAAGAGGCATCTCGCTGTGTGTGTTGGCTGATGTCAAGGTGACACCATCAGAGACAATGCTAGGTCTCAGCCTGGTTGACTGCTCAGTCATGGTGCACATCTGAAAAGCCAGCACTCAGAACAGTGGCGCTGGTGGCTCCGAAGTGTCCCCCCTGCCTGTTCACCGTGCAAACTCAGACACGCATGGTGCGGGCTCGCCCCGCTCTTAAAGAGAAAGGTGGCTGATGAAACCCGAAGGGCCAAACTGGCCGTCCTCTCTGCATCGCAAGCACTTTGAGCATCTTCCTACTCAGGAATGAACTGACCGGCCCTCCAAGCGAAGATATAGGAACTAAGAATGCTGGTCAATGGCCCCCCTTTCGGATTCTGGTGGGGAAAAATCTAGGCAGGCTCCCCCTACCTTGCATACCAACAGGGATTTGATCACCATGCCGCTAACCTAAACGAAGTGGGGAACTCAGACCGAAAGATTAAGATAAACGCAGCCCCGCAGCATGGGAAGTCGGGAGGAAGGATGGAATGCACTCAAGCACAGAGGCTACACAGACCACGAGCGGAAGGACCGCCTGGGCGTGGTCAGATGCAAAGGTCGCCTCTGTCGGCCTTCCTGGTGGTTGTCAGTGCTGGCACTCGTAGTAACTTGAGAAGGTCAACAGCAAGAAACAACAACAGCCAGCAGCCCACTGCTGTGGACACTGACCCCTGGTGACCTCATGTGTGGGAGAGGACAGAGCTGTGCTCGCCATGGGGCTGTCACCGGCATATCCCTCTGCGGGCCACTGGCTGGGCTCCAAGAGTCCACTGCCAGCTTCTGCATTAGGAGTCGAGTGCAAGCCATGAACTCCTCTAAAATGTAAGGGACTATTTGGGACTGATGCCCCTGGGGGCTGTCACCTCACTAGGGAATAGGGGGGGGGGGAGCCGCACAGTGAATGGGGCCTTGGGAAGGTCACTTGGAGCTGTTCTTCGCAGACTGAGAGAAGCGGACCCTAAACCCATCAACCTGGGCTCACTGGCCAACGTCTAGACCTAAGAGGCCAGGTCAACCAGAGGCAATCAGATTTAAGGCCTGTGGGGGGATGAAATGAGGCCTTTTTCAGGAGGCCCAAGCACTAGAATTGAATCCAGGATAACAGACACGGGAACTTCTTGCAAGGTCTTCTGGGTGTTTCAGCAGAGCCAGAAAAACCCAAACCCCAATGCCTGCTACCCAGTTGATTCCAATTCCCCGTGACCCTCTTGGTTTTCAGGGCTGTGCATCTTTGTGGAAGGAGATGGCCACATCTTCTCCTGCAGACCAGCTGGTACACTGAATGACCGACCTTTCTGTGAGCCACCGAGCGTGTCAGCCACGGCACCAACCAGAATTAGAACCCAGCAAAAGCCGGCTGATTAGATGCAGCGACACGAACTACAGGCTTGGGAGTGGATGCTTGGTTGTTCCCATTACAGAAGTAATGTTGAAAAGAAAAAATGCTTCACGGTCTTCGCCTTCTGTTTTAAGGAGGCATACCACCTGCACACACATGCGTGCATCTATATATCCATATATGTAAATCACATGAAGAGTGTGGCATGTAATCCTTGTGAGTGACAGCTCTAGGAAGTCAGATCTCCCAACGAGGATTCCACTCAAGACCCCACTGTCCGCTGGTAGGAGCGGACCCCAGCTGCAGGATCAGCCACCCAGAGGAATGTTACAGTAGGTGCATGCCCCAAGCACGGTGGGTCAAACAGGTCACCGAGGGCTGGGTAGGATGGGCAAGGACTTGATGCTTCAGATTCACCAGGGTCCTCCACTACCAGCTTCCAGGAAGGCTGGTCTTCAGAGGCACCCTTTCTGGTCTCCCTGCGACCAAGGATTTATCACCACTACCATGGCGATGGGGGTGTCAGGAAAGCTGGACTACTACGTGATGCGAGGCTGAGTGCTCTCAAATCAAAGCCTCGCTCTCCAGCGCTGACCTGGGAAGAAAGGCCTGTTTCACAGCCCACCCCACACTGCTGCTGCGTCAAAGAGGCCCCTCCTCTGTGGCTTGCATGCGCCTCTTCTCCATCCTCTGGGCTCCTGATGACGTCATCTGCCCATCGGCAGGGGCCTTTCACCCAACACCTTCAACAACCTCGTGCATGAAGAGGCACACACCCCACCCTTCTACCTCTTTCAGCTTCTTCTCCAATGGCCTTCCCCTCCTCCCTGTGAGCTCAGTCAGCAGCTGCCAGGGACGTGACTTCTCACTAGTTGATCACAGCTTTCCTCGCTCCCTCAGACAGACCCCCAAAAGTAGAACTATTCTCTGACCACACACCCAGGTTCAGTCTGTGGCTTCCTCCCTTTCCTCCCAGCTTTGGCTTCACTCTGTTCCCTCTGCCGTTGGGGCAATCACTGACCTCTTCTCTTCCCCTTCTCGGCAGCACCTTACCCGCCTCAACCCGTCTGGACCCGTGTGTGTGAGGGTCTGTGAGCAACAGAAGTATACGGGATTGTTCAATGGGACTCACTCTGATGGGCCAGTCTGAGACACGATATACCAGATGGTGATGATTTCTGCCTAGGGGGACTGGCACATGCTTTACGAAGTCAAAATTTGGGACGTGACACCTGGATATTTGAATTTGGGGCCCCCTGGAGTAACAAGGAAAACTGGCTGAACAGACATCAGGGGACAGAAATCATGGCACAGCACCAGGTTGGACTGAGTCACCGACTGCCCTGGGTGCTGACACCACCCAGCCCTCCCCTGAGGGGGATCCGGACCGAGGGTTAAGTGGAGGAGCAGGAGGCAGGTCTGCACAAACCATGCTCTCACTCCTCCCTTGGGTGGCAACTGCTGGCAAGGAGGAAGGCGCCAGGGTTGATCGTTCACTCCCCCAACTTTGAGCAGCTCCAAGATACCCCTCCGCTGGCGGATCCATCACTAACCCACGGTGACAGAGGAACACAGCCCCTGGAGTCCCGTGCACGCATCCGATAAATAGCCATGCAAGGTTCATCTTCCTCTCTGGTCCGCCGCACGTCGGGGAGAAGATGTGGCCCACAGACGCCTACGTTGGAACTCGGAGTGTGTGAAATCCGACTCACTGACAGGCTTACAAGATAGCTGCCCAGGGTCTAGGATGTCTGCTTCTTCCTGATTGGCTCTAATACAATGAGCCCTTTGAGTGCCTGCAATGGGATTTCATCACAGGCACTGATCTTCAATGTCAAGCAAATGTCCCGCTTCAACTCACTTCCTCTTTATGTCCCGAGACCCTGGGCAGCATCATTTCCTGGGCCGAACACGGTATGGAATGTTATCAGAAGGGAAATTTTGATACGGAAGAATCACAAGCCATTGTTTCGTTGTGAATAGAGGCAGCTGTGTAAGGCGAGAGCGCACGAGGACTGGGAAAATGCAGCCTTATTTCCAGGCTAGCTCGGTTTCAGAGCGCTCCCCGAGATGACAAATGGATCTTGAGAACTGGGGGGACAGGCTAGCTGGCTTCTGTCTGCACCGAGGGAAAAACAATACAAGTGCTTGTCATTGAAACCCGTGTCTTACTCAGATTAGAAACTCCAGGGTCGGTAAGAGATCAATGTTCGCAATCTCATATCTCCTCTTTCACCCAGGGACCAGTGACGAAAGGAGGGGTTCCCAGAGTCAAAGTTTATCCAATGACAAGGAATGGACTCTGGGCTTGGAGGTCAGGACTCCCTGTAAAGCAATACGGTGAGTATTTCTCCAGAATTTATGAGAACATCTGTTTAATTCGGAAGCACCCTTGGATAGAAGGAACCGTAACTGAAGCCAAAGTGTTGTTGGTTATATTGCTGTTCACAGGGCTTGGTGTGGACATTCCTTCTAAAGACCTGAAGCTTTAAGGTTAAGTTGTAGCCCACATAGACAGGAGGACCGTCTCACTTGTGAGAGGCTTACAAGTTCACTGGCAACCAAGAATTAAGGAAAGTTTGGATGATGAGGACGAATGTCAAGGCAGACCCTTACGTATATGTGAACTAAGCACAGACCGGCCTTTTGCCAGAACTGACTGGATAATCTGTGCATTCCTACCAATGTCACCAAGGAGCCCTGGTGGCACTGTTGGGGACGCGTTAGAACCGCTAACCCCAAGGTCGGTGGTTCAAACTACCAGCAGCTCATTTTGACAAAGCTGAGGCTGTCTGCTCCCGTAAAGATATGCAGCCTCTGAAACCTGTCTTGGTCACTAGGAGCTGGGAAAGACTCAACAGCAGTGAGCCTGGTGTGGTTTGGGCCAATGTCATCAACCTTCTGAAAGAAAGAGTCCTGGGGATGGGTTCGCCCTATCTCATCTGGATCTGGTCTAGGCCACCATCAGCATCCATAATGCAGTATCGTTTGTCCGAGGAGATGATCTGTACTTAAGACATCCCTACAGAACCCAGCGAAAGACGCTGCCCTGTGGCCAGTTTAGGAACTCGACATCAAGCTGTAAATCCTGCATCCAGAACAGAGCCACCCAGGTTCCTCACATTTCTCCCTATTTCCCACGGTAGAAAGCAGGGCCTTAGCTTATGCCCTTTCTTTGAACTAGATCCCTAGGCCTGTCTTTGAAATAGGAATCCCTGTCTTGATCTTTGAAAAAGCATCCCGACTTAAGAACTTGTTACGTAACTTCTGATCCTCTCAAAACCCAAACCAAACTCACTGCCATGAGCCAATTCTGACTCATCGTGGCCCCGATGATCCAGGCTGGGAGGTGGTGGGATTGCTCCTAGCTGGCGGTCGCTGGGCTCAAAATGGACATGAAATAGGAATGAGGGAGAGAGTCAAAATAAAGACCAAGGCTTCTCTGATGACAAGGGGCAGCCAATCCCTGCACAGCGCAAGGTGGCCTTTGCTGGCTCTCGGTGTCTTTAAAACTAAAGAAAATAAACTCACCTCGAAAATTTGCTGGGACCTTCGCCGTCTTCATCATCAAAGTCCATTCTGCAAAGTCAAAATCACAGGTGAGCATTGAGACACGCAGAACATTGGAACTGGTCATGCTGGCCGCCGGCACCCAGGTGTTTTAACCTGGTCACATGGGGCTTTATTCGCCCACACTGCAGTCTGCCAGTCCCAACCTTTGGCAATGCTAACTGAATCTCTCCAGGTAGTCATCTACCAGATTCAGGACAAGAGAAGGAAAAAATGAAAGGTTTCACTACGCTCACCAGTAAAGACAGGTGTTCAAATATCAATTTATCCTCTGAGGCACTGCGAAAGATGCCAGTGGATTGCATGGGCTGTGTTGGAAAGGTGAGCATTCGTTAGCATCCATTATCTCTGGGGCATACCCACTCCCCCAACACCAGGTATGCTTACATTGAGATTTCCTATATAACTTGATTCTATGACATGCTGACAGCCTATAAAGCCCAAAGGGTTTTAAAAACAGGACATTTTGAGGGTGATAAAGGAACCATGAGGAAGAGAAGACATGCTACTGCGCTCACATTGCTTGAGACTGTGGCTGGTTCTGATGTGTCCCAATAGGAAAAGGATATTTAAGGTCGCCATTCTATAAAGTTCAGGGCTAAATAAATAGATATTGAGGGGGAAATGGTCTGGGGTACAAACTACTCAAACTGTCTGCCTGTCGAAATTCTGGTAGTTACACAATCTGGTGTCAGTTTGAGATTTGAGAGGATTAAGAGTGAAGGGGTGGAGTCTAGTCTGTCAATCATCAGGTCATAGCCAGTGAGGCTTCTATGGGGGCAGGGCCTTCTCCTAAGGATTCTGGGAACCACTGTATTTCCTCTCTGGAGGCGGGAGGCACTCTCTCTCGGCTCACTCCCTGCGAGACATTTCTGAGGAGAAGCCACATGAAGCTACCCTGAGGCAGTCAGAGTTTCGGAGCTGAAGAAGCTACATGGAGACCCCTGCCAGCACTGGGATGCTTACACTGGATCCACAACATTTCCCACCCATTTGACGTCACTTCATGTGTTGCGTGAGTCTGGAGAGGGTTTTGTAGATTGGTATCGAACATACAGGCTAATGTCAGACTAACGGATTTGATCTGGACGGGGCTGGGGTGTTTTCTCAATATCCAATTGCTCTTGCGTATAAAGCATTTCTGTACACGTGTGCATGCCTATGAATTTGTTTCTCTAGTCTACCCGGACTAACACAGAAAGGCATCAAATAATTACAAAGATCCTTACTTCACGGGGCCGCTAGGTATAAATATAAAACAAAAATTCTTGATAGATGCTCATTTTAATGGTTCACTTCAGCATTCTTTCTTTAAAAAAAAAAAGACTCGGGTGGGGCAGGGGCAAAGGGGGAAAAAAAATTCACACCTATCTTAATGTCAATGAATATTGGCCCTGAAGACATGAGGGCAGAGATCGGGTTGACTTGGTATGAAGTGCACCCAGAATCCTTGGAGAAAGGTCAGTACAGATGGCCTGGCTGTCTTGGACACCCAGAGTTGCGTGGGGTTCTGGGGAAGAGTGTGTCACAGTCCCCACAGGCACCGGCTTGGTGGAACCAGGATGGGATATGGCTGTTTCCATGAAATTCAAGCAGAAGGGAGGCCAGTTTCCCAGCAGGGCTGGGGAGAAGCTCCTTGTCTGAGCAGTCTGGGGTACGAACGGGGTGTGCACCGCAGGCTCAGAGAAGGCTTCATCCCACTCAGGCTTCCAGGGCAAACCTTCAGCAGTAGGTGGTCTGTAGGCACAGGCCCGGGCTGCGAGGCTCCTGCGTGTGATAAAGAGGAGCCTTCGCTGCACCGAGCACAGCTCTGAGAGGCCTCTGATGAGACGCATCGTAGTGTGTAGGCCTTTGAGGATCTTGAGACACTGGAATCAGGAGGGGCAAAGGAGTATTTCTTTTCCTTTCAGAAATAATCTCCTCTGAGATGAGCCAGTCAGGGTGCGATGTAACAATGATGAGAAATACAACCTTCCTCTAGTTCCTAAAGGTTTCCTCCCCGCTCCCACTACCATGACTCGAATTCTATCTTGCAAGACTGGCTAGACCAGAGGAGGTACACTGGTACAGATAGGAACTGAAAATACAGGGAATCCAGGACGGATGAGCCCTATAGGACCAGTGGTGTGAGTAGCAAAACAGGGAGGGTAAAGGGAGGATGGGTAGGGAAGAGGGAACCGATTACATGGAACTGTGTGTGACCTCCTCCCTGGGGGACAGACAACCAAAAAGTGGATGAAGGGAGACGTTGGACGGGGCAAGATATGACAAAATACCCATTTATAAACTATCAAGGGCTCATGCGGGAGGGGGGAGCGGGGAGGGAGGGGAAAAATGAGGACCTAATGTCGGGGGTTTCAATGGAGAGAAAATGTTTTGAGAAACGATGTACAAATGCGCTTTACACAATTGATGTGTGTATGGATTGGGATAACAGTTGTATGAGCCCCTAATAAAATGTTAAAAAAATAATAACAATGTTTAAAAAAAAAAAGAAAAAGAAATAATCTCCTCTGTTTGCTTTACGTGCAGTGTGGCCAGAGTCCTAATCAAAAGTCATCATATTCGGAAGGACCTGAAAGAACTCCCTGGCCAGGGGCAGCTCCTGCTGCTCAGCCACGGGGCTGTAGTCACTGCTGGGGGAAGAACAGAAGGAGGCGGGGAGTCCGAGGGCAGAGCAGCCAGAGGGCCAATGCCCACGCATGGGGAGATCCACATGGCGGACCAAGCAGCTAGATGACCCACCCGTTCCACAATAAAGACTTGAGAAACCAAGAAAAACAGATGGACGGCAATCCTGGAGCCCAGGGCTCCAAAGGAAAGGATAAAGAATTAAGCCAGATAGCAAAGGAGAGAAAAGAGATGGTATGAAAACCGTGAACAAGGAGCAGTGCACTACCAACCAGCAACGTGCGGCCATTTTGAATTCATGCCAGTAGCTTTCCAGTCTAAGATGGAACCAAATCACTGACTCGGCTTGCCCAAAGTGCACCAGCACCCACCGCGCCTGGACAGGTCTGACGGACATCCCCCCTCTACCTTGTACAACCTTCAGAGGACCAGAGGAGCAGCACCACAAGCCTACCCACATGGCCCCTGGCCAACCCCCACACCACACGCCAGCCCACTCCAGTGTCTTGCTTGTTCTCCGGGCTCGCCCGCCCAGGGAGGACCGGGCCCTCTCCCCTAGGCACTCCCTGGTTGGAGATGCTCGCTGCGGCAGAGCACATGCTGCTTCCTACACACTGGAGTGTGGCGTCCCGCACTTTCTCCACGATTCTGCTGCCTTTGGTTTGGTTTTAGTTCCCCTTCTTCTTAGCGCTTCTCTCCTCTCTCGGCACTGTTCAGAGTGCCACCCAGGAGACGGCGTAGCGCGATGGATGCGAAACCAAACCTCATCAGCATCCTGTCCACAGGAGCCACATCTTAGACACAGAGACAAGCATCCGCTGAACATCAAAGGGTGGAAAAACATACATCCAGCATCTTCTCAGGCCACAAGGCTGTAAAATTGGAAATCAACAACAGAAAGACCAAAGGGGAAAAAATCCCAAGACATGGAAAGTAAACACCACTCTGCATAAAAACGACTGGGTGTTACAAGAAATAACAGCCAGAATGTAAAATTCCTCGAATCAGTCCCTTAAAGATGGAAACACAGCATTAAAAAATCTAGGACACAGCAAAAGAAGTACTCAGGGGACAATCTATCACAATAAACACACAGATCAAAAACAGGGCGAACTCAAATCAGCACCTTCCCCCAGCACCTCCAACCATCGGACAGAGAACCAGAAGAAAAGCCTGCCGTCAACAGGAGAAAGGAATTACGGCGGACTCCAGCACCAGAAACACGAAACTGCAAACAGAAAAACAACAGAAAGGACCAACGAGACTAGAAGCTGGTTCTTTGAAAGGGTTGCTAAAATCGACGAGCCACTTGCAGACTGAACCAAGGAAAAGAAGGAGAAGCGGCCACAAATACAAGTCAGGGATGCATTACAGGAGAACCCCGCGGAAAGGACAGTAGGAGATACGAGAAGAACTACACTCAAACAAATGTGAACACTTGACACATTTCTAGAAACACATGACCCAAACTTACAAGATATCAGGTGGAAAGTCTGAACAATTCTACCACCAAAGAATAAATCCCGCAGGCCCTCAAATCACCTCCCCGCAGCAACAAGAAGAAAAGTCCTGGGTCCGACGGCTGCATTGGCAAACCCTCCCAAACTTTCAGGGACGCGCTGCTGTAATTCTACTCAAACTATTTCAGAACCTAGAGAAAGATGGAGCTTTTCTGAACCGATTCCACAAACCAAGCATAACCCTGATACCAAAACTGACAACAACAAACGGCAGATTAATATCCCTCCTGCACATTGGAGTAAGAATTCTCGACACAGTTGTACTCAATAGAATCTATCAACAATCTAATTATCGATCGATCGATCTCGATCATGACAGAGTGGGACCCACGGCTAGCCTTGTGCTCAATGGAGAGAGACTGAAAACATGCCCTTTCTGAATGAGAACCACACAAGGATGCCCCTTTTCACCTCTGCTAATCAATATGGTATGGAAATTCTAGCCAGAACAAGATAAGAAAGGGAAAGAAGAGGCATGCAAATTGGCAAAAAGAAGAAGAAGTAAAACTACCTATTTAAGGATTCTATTATCCTACGCATAGAAAATCCTAGAGATTCAACAAGGAAACTACAGGAACTAATAGAAAGATTGAGCCAAGAGTCAGAATACAAGATTCTGACAAAAATCAGATCCCTCTACCTGAACAAAGAGAACTCTGAAGAGATAGTCAGGAAAGGAATACAATTTACAGCGACCATAAAAGATTAAGTATTTGGGAATAACACTAACCAGAAGCCAAAAGACCTACACAAAGCAACCTGCAACACAACTACAGGAAATCGAGAGGCCTACGTAAGTGGAGGAACATATCTTGCTCGTGACATGGAAGACTTAACATTACACCAATGTCAATACTT